TGTGTTTGATGTATTTATGCAGGGCTCATCTGTAAAAGAGACCCTAGTTTCAGTATGATTTCCCTATGAAAATACAGCTAAAAAATAAATAAAGCTAATAACTATGTAAATACCTAGTCACACCACTATTTCAATGTAATATACAGTCGTGGTCAAAAGTTTTGAGAATGACACAAATATAAATTTTTACAAAGTCTGCTGCCTCAGTTGTTATGATGGAAATGTGCATATACTCCAGAATGTTATGAAGAGTGATCAGATGAATTGCAATTAATTGCAAAGTCCCTCTTTGCCATGAAAATGAACTTAATCCCCAAAAAACATTTCCACTGCATTTTAGCCCTGCCATAAAAGGACCAGCTGACATCATGTCAGTGATTCTCTCGTTAACACAGGTGAGAGTGTTGACGAGGACAAGGCTGGAGATCACTCTGACATGCTGATTGAGTTAGAATAACAGACTGGAAGCTTTAAGAGGGTGGTGCTTGAAATCATTGTTCTTCCTCTGTTAACCATGGTTACCTGCAAGGAAACACGTGCCGTCATCATTGCTTTGCACAAAAAGGGCTTCACAGGCAAGGATATTGCTGCTAATAAGATTGCACCTAAATCAACCATTTACAGGATCATCAAGAACTTCAAGGAGAGAGGCTCAATTGTTGTGAAGAAGGCTTCAGGGCGCCCAAGAAAGTCCAGCAAGCGCCAGGACCGTCTCCTAAAGTTGATTCAGCTGCGGGATCGGGGCACCACCAGTGCAGTTCCTTATTGCAAACAGGATGCATGTTTTGAAATACAGTAAAGCCAAACAATTCAGGGTGAAGTTTATTTAATAAAAATCATCCAAACAAACCGAGTAGAAATACATTTGTACTCACAGTCATAAAGAGCTAGCATAACAACAAAAGTTAATTACATTAATTTCTATGTGAATATTATGATTTGATGATTTGGATGTAAATTGTTTTTACATTAGCTTCATACAAGTTATTGTATCCAAATGACATAAATATAAAGCAAACAAATATGACTGAATAGAATGACTGCATACATTCCAACAACGAGCTAACATAGAAGATTGCTAGCCAAAGCAAATTGACTTGCAGAAATAGCTTGCTGACCATTTTGCTTGACAAAAAAAGTGCCACAAAACAACTGTAAATAGACATGTAACGTTTCCACAAGTATATTACCTTGTAAGACAACTATATCTTAACACTCAAAAGAGCTAGATACATTTTGTACAACATTAAGCTAAATTACAACAAAAGCGGGAGCTAACATGCTAACACACAATGTAATGTCAATGGCGATTCGATAGCTTAATTAGCCTAGCACCCTAGCAGACTTTAGAAGCTAGAATAAACACAAAAAACGTAATTCCAACATAAACCACTGCTTGTACTAACGATGATGCAATCTCTATTGCACTCCACACTGCCCTTTCCCACCTGGACAAAAGGAACACCTAAGTGAGAATGCTATTAGTTGACTACAGGGTAGGTAATAACACATCTGCCACGCTGATCCTCAACACAGGGGCCCCTCAGGGGTGCGTGCTCAGTCCCCTCATTTACTCCCTGTTCACCCATGACTGCATGGCCAGGCACGACTCTAACACCATCATTAAGTTTGCCGACGAGACAACAGCGGTAGGCCTGATCACCAACAACCATGAGACAGCCTATAGGGAGGAGGTCAGAGACCTGGCCGTGTGGTGCCAGGATAACAACCTCTCCCTCAACGTGATTAAGACAAAGGAGATGATTGTGGACTACAGGGAAAAAAAGAGGACTGAGCACGCCCCCATTCTCATCGACGGGGCTGTAGTGGAACAGGTTGAGAGCTTCAAGTTCCTTGGTGTCCACATCACCAACAAACTAGCATGGTCCAAACACACCAAGACAGTCGTAAAGAGGGCATGACAAAGCCTATTCCCCCTCAGGAGACTGAAAAGATTTGGCATGGGTCCTCAGATCCTCAAAAAATTCTACAGCTGCACCATCGAGAGCATCCTGACTGGTTGCATCACTGCCTGGTATGGCAACTGCTCGGCCTCCGACCGCAACGCACTACAGAGGGTAGTGCGTACAGCCCAGTACATCACTGGGGCCAAGCTTCCTGCCATCCTGGACCTCTATATCAGGCGGTGTCAGAGGAAGGCCCTAAAACTTGTCCAAGACTCCAGCCACCCTAGTCATAGACTGTTCTCTCTGCTACCGCACGGCAAGCTGTACCGGAGCGCCAAGTCTAGGTCCAAAAGGCTTCTTAACAGCTTCTACCCCCAAGCCATAAGACTCCTGAACAGCTTATCATGGCTACCCGGACTATTTGCATTGTCCCCCCACCCCCTCGTTTAAACTGCTGCTACTCTCTGTTTATTATCTATGCATAGTCACTTTAACTCTACCCACATGTATATATTACCTCAATTACATCGACTAACCTGTGCTCCCGCACATTGACTCTGTACCGGTACCCCGTGTATATAGCCTCCCTACTTATCTATTTTTTACTTAACACTTATTTTTCTTAAAACTACATGGTTGGTTAGGGGCTTGTACAGTGGGGATAAAAATTATTTAGTCATCCACCAATTGTGCAAGTTCTCCCACTTAAAAAGATGAGAGAGGCCTGTAATTTTCATCATAGGTACACGTCAACTATGACAGACAAAATGAGAATTTATTTTCCAGAAAATCACATTGTAGGATTTTTAATGAATTTATTTGCAAATTATGGTGGAAAATAAGTATTTGGTCAATAACAAAAGTTTCTCAATACTTTGTTATATACCCTTTGTTGGCAATGACACAGGTCAAACGTTTTCTGTAAGTCTTCACAAGGTTTTCACACACTGTTGCTGGTATTTTGGCCCATTCCTCCATGCAGATCTCCTCTAGAGCAGTGATGTTTTGGGGCTGTCGCTGGGCAACACGGACTTTCAACTCCCTCCAAAGATTTTCTATGGGGTTGAGATCTGGAGACTGGCTAGGCCACTTCAGGACCTTGAAATGCTTCTTACGAAGCCACTCCTTCGTTGCCCGGGTGGTATGTTTGGGATCATTGTCATGCTGAAAGACCCAGCCACGTTTCATCTTCAATGCCCTTGCTTTTTATGCCTGTTGTATTCGGCGCATGTGGCAAATAAAATTTGATTTGAAATAACATTTCATTTGAGTTTTGAGTTGTAAATTGAAACATCTTCAATTAGGGTCAAATTTGAACAATTTCTAAAATTGTGATGAATCATAGTTAACTATACAGAACACCATACAGTGAGGGAAAAAAGTATTTGATCCCCTGCTGATTTTGTACGTTTGCCCACTGACAAAGAAATGATCAGTCTATAATTTTAATGGTAGGTTTATTTGAACAGTGAGAGACAGAATAACAACAAAAAAATCCAGAAAAACTCATATCAAAAATGTTATAAATTGATTTGCATTTTAATGAGGGAAATAAGTATTTGACCCCCTCTCAATCAGAAAGATTTCTGGCTCCCAGGTGTCTTTTATACAGGTAATGAGCTGAGATTAGGAGCACACTCTTAAAGGGAGTGCTCCTAATCTCAGTTTGTTACCTGTATAAAAGACACCTGTCCACAGAAGCAATCAATCAATCAGATTCCAAACTCTCCACCATGGCCAAGACCAAAGAGCTCTCCAAGGATGTCAGGGACAAGATTGTAGACCTACACAAGGCTGGAATGGGCTACAAGACCATCGCCAAGCAGCTTGGTGAGAAGGTGACAACAGTTGTTGTGATTATTTGCAAATGGAAGAAACACAAAATAACTGTCAATCTCCCTCGGACTGGGGCTCCATGCAAGATCTCACCTCGTGGAGTTGCAATGATCATGAGAACGGTGAGGAATCAGCCCAGAACTACACGGGAGGATCTTGTCAATGATCTCAAGGCAGCTGGGACCATAGTCACCAAGAAAACAATTGGTAACACACTACGCCGTGAAGAACTGAAATCCTGCAGCGCCCGCAAGGTCCCCCTGCTCAAGAAAGCACATATACATGCCCGTCTGAAGTTTGCCAATGAACATCTGAATGATTCAGAGGAGAACTGGGTGAAAGTGTTGTTGTCAGATGAGACCAAAATTGAGCTCTTTGGCATCAACTCAACTCGCCGTGTTTGGAGGAGGAGGAATGCTGCCTATGACCCCAAGAACACCATACCCAACGTCAAACATGGAGGTGGAAACATTTTGCTTTGGGGGTGTTTTTCTGCTAAGGGGACAGGATCAGAGGGACGATGGACGGGGCCATGTACCGTCAAATCTTGTGTGAGAACTTCCTTCCCTCAGCCAGGGCATTGAAAATGGGTCGTGGATGGGTTTTCCAGCATGACAATGACCCAAAACACACGGCCAAGGCAACAAAGGAGTGGCTCAAGAAGAAGCACATTAAGACCCTGGAGTGGCCTAGCCAGTCTCCAGACCTTAATCCCATAGAAAATATGTGGAGGGAGCTGAAGGTTCGAATTGCCAAACGTCAGCCTCGAAACCTTAATGACTTGAAGAAGATCTGCAAAGAGGAGTGGGACAAAATCCCTCCTGAGATGTGTGCAAACCTGGTGGCCAACTACGTCTGACCTCTGTGATTGCCAACAAGGGTTTTGCCACCAAGTACTAAGTCATGTTTTGCAGAGGGGTCAAATACTTATTTCCCTCATTAAAATGCAAATCAATTTATAACATTTTTGACATGCGTTTTTCTGGATTTCTTTGTTGTTATTCTGTCTCTCACTGTTCAAATAAACCTACCATTAAAATTATAGACTGATCATTTCTTTGTCAGTGGGCAAACGTACAAAATCAGCAGGGGATCAAATACTTTTTCCCTCACTGTACATTAACTCACTTAATTGTTTTAATCATTTGACAGCCCTAATTCTGATTTATTCTACTCTACTCCACTTAGTTCTATTCTGTGCTTTTCTATTCTACTCTGTTTGGTTCTGTTCTATTCTATTCTACTCTACTCCTCCAGGTTATAACATCTCAGGAGAAGGAGTTAACCATAAAGAAGTCGGACGGGGAGACGACCACGGCTACAGTGAGGATCTGGAACGAGACGGTCTCTAACCTCACTCTCATGGCTCTGGGGTCATCCGCCCCCGAGATATTGCTCTCTGTTATAGAGGTAACACACACACATACACACACACACCTGAGATACTGCTCTCTGTTATAGAGGTGTGATGTATGTCTGGATACATGAATCAAACATTCTTTATTAAAGTAACTGGTCACTCACTCACTTGCAGCATACTGTACGATGTATCAACTTGACCTGATGCTGAAGAAAAGCGAAGCAGAACAGAGAAATTAACAGTTCTTACTTTATCTTTAACCTAATTGGGATCCCCATTAATTGACACCATGACGACAGCTTATCTTCCCGGGGTCCATTCTCATTTATTGAGCTCATCAATAAAGTGTATCCAATAATCACATGATGTGAACACATGAAACTATTTACTTTCATAGTTTATTGGCACAGTTTGCCCCCAGATACACTTCTAGTCTCTTAATCCTTGTTCACACCCCTCTCTATCCTGCTCTCTGTCTCGCCCTCTCTCCTTCAGGTCTGTGGCCATGGCTTCGAGGCAGGCTCTCTGGGCCCCTCCACCATTGTGGGCAGCGCAGCCTTCAACATGTTCGTCATCATAGCCCTGTGTGTCTACGTGGTCCCTGATGGAGAGACCAGGAAGATTAAACACCTGCGTGTTTTCTTCGTGACTGCGGCGTGGAGTGTGTTCGCATACATCTGGCTCTACCTCATCCTGTCTGTGTTCTCTCCAGGAGAGGTGGAAGTCTGGGAGGCCGTGATCACCTTTCTGTTCTTCCCCCTGTGAGTAGGATACACACACATGCACGTGTTGGCACACGCACATGCATGCATGCATACACACACACACACACACACACACACACACACACACACACACACACACACACACACACACACACACACACACACACACACACACACACACACACACACACACACACACACACACTCACACACACTCATCTCTCTCTCTCTCTCTCTCGCTCTCTCTCTCCCCTCTCTCAGGTGCGTGGTTCAGGCATGGGTAGCCGATCGACGACTCCTCTTCTACAAGTACGTCCGCAAGCGTTACCGCGCCGACAAGCACCGAGGCATCATCATTGAGACGGAGGGAGGGATGGATGGAGGGATGGGAAGACGAGGAGGGGTGTTGGGGCCAGGAGGGTTCACTAAGACAGACATGATGGAGCTGGATGGACAGGCGGTGGATGAACGGATGGATGGAGAAATTATAGAGGATGGAGGACTGGGAGGAACGAGGGATCTGGAGGACGTGGCGAGGAGAGATATGGCGAGGACGCTGAAGGAGCTGAAAGCAAGACATCCTGATAAAGACACAGAGCAGCTCATAGAGATGGCCAACTACCAGGTAACCAGCTTATAAAGGCTTCATAGAGCATTCATGGAGACTTCATAAGCACAACATAGCTGCTTTACGCTTTACATTGACATTTTAGATATTGTGTAATTATTGGGTCCCAATATAAATGAACAACAATTTATAAAATCTTTATAGAGTATTCATATGGACTTCATAAGCACTAAATAGATGCTTCACATATAATTTATTAACAGAGTCTGGACTAAATCCTTTATTATCTCTCCTGTCAGGTGTTGGTCCAGCAACAGAAGAGCCGAGCGTTCTACCGTATACAGGCAACCAGGATGATGATTGGAGCAGGGAACATTCTGAAGAAGCATGCTGCAGACCAGGCTAGGAAGGTACGGACTGTCCATTGCACCTATTCTCAAACCAATGTTGTACCAAACTTTTTCTTTGATTTTTCATTCTGCTGATCACATCTGAATTTTGAACTTGCACCCAAATGCTCAGTTATCAATTTATCAATGGAATAGTCAAAATCAGAAACATGTTATCCATCGATCAAACTCTCTACATCACTCTCCTTCAGGTGGTGAGCTCCCACGAGCCCCACCCCCAGGAGGATAACCCCCACACGACCCGGATGGAGTTTGAACCCTCTCACTACCAGTGCTTCGAGAACTGTGGATCTCTCAAACTGACCGTGGCCCGACATGGGGGAGACCCAGGAGCTTCTGTTATGGTAGGGGAAGGAGAGGGTGAGGAGTAGGGGCATGGGAGGGGGTGAGAGAACTGTGGATCCCTCAAACACACTGTAGCCAGGCATGGAGGACATCCAAGTGCTTCTGTTAAGGTAGGGGGGAGGAGAGGGAGAGGAGGGGGAGGAGAGGGGGAGGAGGGGGAAGAGCGGACCGAGAAAGGAGGAGGGAAATGAGGATAGGATGGACTACTCAGATATTTTTGCATGATGAAATCACTTTTAAATTTGCTTGATTGGCATGACGTAACAATGTACAGTACATATTGCCAAAGCGTACTTTGGAGATTAAGTGATACATTTACTATATTAACATAATTTAAATAATAATAATCAATATTGTCAACGGGACAATCAGTAACAACAATAATCAAGGGTAAAAATAACCATACAATTGACAATAACAATAACAATGGCATAGAGGACATGTGCAGGTTGGTTGGTCTGTCAGACACTGTCCCTCAGTTTATGGCAGGCAGCAATGTAGTGTGCTACCAACCCACAGCTCTCTGCGTCTTCCCCCAACAGGACGGGTAGCCTATTCTCATCAGAGAGGTCTTTAAAACCTTGAATGAGGGTTTCAAATTTGGGGAAATGACACTCTCTAATTGTTTTATATTTTTGACATTTTGTCAGGAAATGCAGCTCTGTCTCGGGTCCTGCTGTGGTGCAGTGGTTGCACATCCTTTCCTCTACAGGGAGCAAGGTTTTCCTGTCTCTACCCTTCTCAATGGCAAGGCTGTGCTCACTGAGCCTGTACCTTGTCAAGGTTTTCCTAAGGTTTTGATCAGTAACCATGGTCAAATAGTTTGCCATGGTGTACTGTCGATTTAGGGCCAGATAGCACTTAATTTTGCTTTATGCTTGTGTTTCCCAATAGGTAATGTAGTTTTGTTTTGACTGTGTTGTAATTTGGTTTATTCTGATTGATTGGATGTTCTGGTCCTGAGTGTGTTAGTAAAACAGGTGTGTGAACTCAGCCCCAGGACCAGCTGGATGATGGGACTCTTTTCTTTGCTTAGCTCTTGGCATTGCAGGGCTTGGTAATGATATGAGAGGGGGGTCACTGTATTTGAGATGTTTCCAAAACGTAATTGCTCTTTTTGAGTTTTTATTATTGGTGGATATTGGCCTAATTATTTTCTCTCTCTCTTTCTAACAATTTTTCTCATCTTGCCCCCCCCCCCCCCCACCCCACCCCGCTCGTAGTGGTGCCCTACAGGACCGTAGACGGGACAGCACGGGGAGGAGAGGACTACGAAGAGGTGTCGGGAAAACTGGAGTTCCAGAACGACGAGACTATGTGAGTCTGACTGTTCTCATTTCTGAGATCCTTCGTTCCATGATTGACTTTCTTTCTCTTTCAAGCTCACACTCACTCTCAATCTCAATTATATGTCTGTGACTCAGACGTGTGTGAATGTTTGTCTTTTCGTATGATCCTTTGTTCCATGATCGTCTCTCTCTCTCTCTCTCTCTCTCTCTCTCTCTCTCTCGCTCTCTCTCTCTCTCTCTCTCTCTCCTCTCTCTCTCGCTCTCTCTCCTCTCTCTCTCTCTCTCTCTCTCTCTCTCTCTCTCTCTCTCTCTCTCAATCATAACACTTCAGTCAAAGAGAGACGAATGACAGTGCTGTATCTATGTGAGTGCTTTGACAGCCAGTGTGAGTGAGTGAGTGTGTGTGTGTCTGTCTGTCAAGTAACCCAGCACTGTCAGGGCTGTCCAAGAGCTGCTCTTTTACAGCTACCCCGCTGAGAAGGTTTGAAAGAGAGATTGTGTGTGTGTGTGCGTGCATGCCTGCGTGTGTGTTTGTGTGTATGTTTTAGTGACATCTTGACATAGTGGTCCAGAAGCATGCCAACTGATACCAGCCAGACGACAGGATAATGTCACGACAAGGGCACAAAGTGTGTGTGTGTGTTTGATGGAAGGAGAGAGAGAGAAAGTGAGTCTTTGATGCAGCATTTGCATGTCTTCCCTCTAAACATGACTGAAGTCAATAGGTGAGTGTGTAGCTCTGATGTTTGTGTGTGTGTCTATCAGCTCAAACTTTAGTGTGTGTGTGTGTGTGTCATATCCAGTGTGTGTGTGTTTGTGTTTGACTGTGTGTGTGTGCTGTGATGTAAAAATAGATATGAATGACTAAATGAGTGATAGCGAGTGAAAGAAGGAGTAGTATTGATATAAGAGGAGGATGAAAGGAGGTCAGGAAGAAAGGGAAAGATGAGAAGAAAGGAGAGTGAGCCTTTTTAGATTCTGTTGTTCATGGGAAAGCTGGTGAGAGAGAGGGATTACAGAAAGGCATTGATGTTGAATAGTTAACTACACTGCTTGATCGATACCTTTCCTCATCCCTCCTCCCACTTTCGTCCCCTCTTCCGCTCATTCTCTCTCCCTTTTTCCAACCCTCCTCCCTCTATTTCTCCCCATCTTTTCTTCCCCTCCTTCTCTCCATTCCCTCCCCCTTCTCATTCCTCCTTGATTCAGGCTTATTGATGTATTTCTCATCTAGATTCACTCCTTCCCCCTTTTTCCCCCATTCGCGATCTCTAACGTTAAGGAAGTCTCACGTTTTTGCTCGCCTGAGTTAGAATACCTCATGATAAGCTGCAGACCTTACTTTTTACCAAGAGAGTTTTCATCTATATTTTTCATAGCTGTCTATTTACCACCACAAACTGATTCTGGCACTAAGACCGCACTCAACGACTTATATAGGGCCAGAGCAAACCATCAAACAGGCAAAGCATCAATACAGGCTCTGACGCTTGTCGGATGTGGCAGTGTGGCAGGGCTTGCAAACTATCACAGATTACAAAGGGAAACCCAGCCGCGAGCTGCCCAGTCACGCAAGCCTACCAGACTAGCTAAATGTTTTCTACTGTATGCTCATTTTCGAGGCAAGCAACACTGAACCATGCATGAGAGCACCAGCTGTTCTGGACGACTGAGTGAGCTCGCTCTCCGTAGCCGATGTGAGTAAGACCTTTCAACAGGTTAACATTTACAAGGCCGTGGGGCCAGACGGATTACCAGGACTCCCCATAGCACTCACATCTGTAGCCATTAAATTATTTGAAAGGCTGGTCATGGCTCACATCAACACCATCATCCCAGACACCCTGGACCCACTCCAATTCACATACCGCCCCAACAGATACACATATGACGCAATCTCTACTGCACTCCACACTGCCCTCGCCAACCTGGACAAGAGGAACACCTATGTGAGAATGCTGTTCATCGACTACAGCTCAGTGTTCAACACCATAGTGCCCTCCAAACTCATCACTAAACTCAGGACCCTGGGACTGAACACCTCCCTTTGCAACTGGATTCTGGACTTCCCAGGTGGTGAGGGTAATCAATAACACATTCGCCACGCTGACCCTCAACACGGGGGCCCCTCAGTGGTGCGTGCTTAGTCCCCTCCTGTACTCCCTGCTCACCCACGACTGCGTGGCCACGCACGACTTCAACACCATCATTAAGTTTGCTGACGATACGACAGTGGTAGGCCTGATCACCGACGACGAGACAGCCTATAGGGAGGAGGTTAATGACCTGGCAGTGTGAGGCCAGGAAAACAACCTCTCCCTCAACTTCAGCAAGACAACGGAGCTGATCGTGGACTAAAGGAAACGGAGGGCCAAGCACGCCCCGATCTACACACCCTCAAAAAGTTATACAGCTGTACCATTGAGAGCATATTGACTGGATGCATCACCGATTGGTATGGAAACTTCTTGGCATCTGACTGCAAGGCACTACAAAGGGTAGTGCGTATGGCCCAGCACATCACTGGGGCCGAGCTCCCTGCCATCCAGGACCTCTATACCAGGTGGCGTCAGAGGAAGGCCCCAAAAAATGTATAGAAAAAAGTAATAGACTGTTCTCTCTGCTACCGCACGGCAAGCGGTACCGATGCACCAAGTCTGGAACCAACAGGACCCTGAACAGCTTCTACCCCCAAGCCAGAACACTGCTAAATAGCTAACTGGACTATCTGCATTGCCCTTTTTGTACCAATTGTTTTGACTCATCACATACGCTGCTGCTACTATTTATTATCTATCCTGTTGCCCAGTCACTTTACCCCTACCTATATGTACATATCTACCTCAATTACCTCTGCACATCAACTCGGTACTGGTAACCTGTGTATATAGCCAAGTTATCGTTACTCATTGTGTATTTATTCCTCGTGTTATTATTTTTTCAATAATTTTTCTCAATATACACTGCTCAAAAAGATTAAGGGAACACTTAAACAACACAATGTAACTCCAAGTCAATCACACTTCTGTGAAATCAAACTGTCCACTTAGGAAGCAACACTGATTGACAATACATTTCACATGCTGTTGTGCAAATGGAATAGACAACAGGTGGAAATTATAGGCAATTAGCAAGACACCCCCAATAAAGGACTGGTTTTGCAGGTGGTGACCACAGACCACTTCTCAGTTCCTATGCTTCCTGGCTGATGTTTTGGTCACTTTTGAATGCTGGCGGTGCTTTCACTCTAGTGGTAGCATGAGACGGAGTCTACAACCCACACAAGTGGCTCAGGTAGTGCAGCTCATCCAGGATGGCACATCAATGCGAGCTGTGGCAAGAAGGTTTGCTGTGTCTGTCAGCGTAGTGTCCAGAGCATGGAGGTGCTACCAGGAGACAGGCCAGTACATCAGGAGACATGGAGGAGGCCGTAGGAGGGCAACAACCCAGCAGCAGGACTGCTACCTCCTCCTTTGTGCAAGGAGGAGCAGGAGGAGCACTGACAGAGCCCTGCAAAATGACCTCCAGCAGGCCACAAATGTGCATGTGTCTGCTCAAACGGTCAGAAACAGACTCCAAGAGGGTGGTAATGAGGGCCCGACGTCCACAGGTGGGGGTTGTGCTTACAGCCCAACACCGTGCAGGACGTTTGGCATTTGCCAGAGAACACCAAGATTGCCAAATTCGCCACTGGCGCCCTGTGCTCTTCACAGATGAAAGCAGGTTCACACTGAGCA